GCCGCTGGTGCTAAATGCTGAGCGCCGACAGGATGGAGGAGTTTCAGAGCGAGGAAGAGGAGCCCTGGTACGACCAGCAGGACCTGGAGCAGGGTAAGGACGGGGGCACCCTGCAAGCTGCCAGGGATGGCGGGCCAGGGGGATGCGGGGGCAGAAAAGGGGGCGAATCCCGCGTACAGGAGGGTGGGATACCTTCGCTCAAGACTCGCATTTGCTTGGCGAAGCCAGCGCCTCGTCCTGAGGCAGCACCTCCGTGGAAATCTCGGCTCCGCTGCTCCAAGCCACCGTCCTGGCTGTGGAAAGTTTAAACCTGATGGATAGAGGCAGGGAGCCCACATCTGTCCTGAGCACCAGGGGGGGAAAAAATTTGGGGTGTTGCATCCACAAGGAAGCTGGTTTCCCAGAAAACTTGCTGCAGGCAGAATCAAACACGGGTAGTTATGGCATTGCTTTCATCTCAGAGCAGTTGCAGGTAGAGTTAGCAGGCACATGAATTAGAAATTAATACGTCGGAAATAATATTTTGCTTAGCTGAGGATGCTGAAAGTGTCTTCCAAAAGCTCTTGCTATCCAAGCCTAAATCCAGAGGGATCTTCAGCTTCTAACTCACCTCATTACTTTGGGAAATTTTTCCAATCAGCCATAAAAGCAGGAGAAATTGGGAAGGAGGAAAAAAAAAAAAAGAAAAAAATCAAGGCCAAGTTTCAAACAGCAGAAATAGCCTTGTTAGAGGATAAACATTCACTTGTGTAGTTTGTTTTGAAGTAACTGTACCTACATTTGCACTAGTTCTATGTAATGTTTATCCTAAGGCTGGACAGTTGGTGTCTGTGGGTATTTGGGGCTTCCTTTATTTTACTTACCTTAATATTTTGAGTCAACACGTAATAAGTAAATAACTAGAAGTCCTGTTTCAGGCCAGTGGCCCAGGAATGAACTGATTTGTCACTGCATAGGGAAAAATCATTCCCACCTAAATAGACTACCCCTCTAACACATTGCACTATAGGTACAGTACAGTTATATATTTGCTTTAGGCAGCTGACTGTCAGCAGGGATGTGCAGTCCAGCTGCAGTGCCTCTGCCCACCGTTGCTCCAGTACATTATGTCATGATTTAAAGTTTACACAACTTCAGCTGCAGGGCAGAGGCCCAGCAAGGAATGATAAACAGCTCCCTGAGGGATTGTTGCAGCTGGTTTTTAACCCCAATTTCTCAGTTAACAGGAAATATCAATAGCAGGATACTAGGCCCTGTTCTTTGAAACACAACGGTCAAGTTAAGCCAGGGCAGAGCACAGAGATGGAGCCATCAGCTGAATAAACAGTGCAGCCTTTGAATGCTCAGAAATTTCACATTTCTGGGTGACATCTTCCCATGGCTCACAAGGGGCCTGGGCACTGGTCCAGGGGCAGGATGCAGGCTGAGGAACAGCAGAACTACAGCTGAACATAGGGAGTGTTGAACAACGCGGGACCGATTGGTTTTAAGCCTAACACTGTCCCTGGTGTCAGGTTCATGAGTCAGCACTGGCACCGTACAACTAGCTCACAACAATAAAACCACCTTCCCACTGCAGGCCAGGTTCCCAGCTCTGTCCTGGCAGCATAAATGCAGAATAACTGCCTCCAGATGATGGATTGATGCTGGGGATAGACTCCACCTTTGAGCACATACAGGACTGGAGGAAAACCCAGACCCAAAACAAAGCCCAGCTGCGGGGTTTGCAGCCTCCTGTACAAATGGGGGCTGCACAGGCTTGCACAAACTCAGAAGGAGAGATGGGGAAGGCTTTAACTAAAATCAGCCAACTGGAAAGGTTCTACGAGGTAATTACAGCCGTAATTAATTTGCATGGTGCACAAAGCGTCACCAAGGACAGTGCTAGACTTTGTCCACATACACTGTGCCTTTGCATGACAGCCATAGCCACATCCGGAGGTCTTTGGTGACGGCACAGCCGTGAAGCTGTTGGTTTGGAAATGAGGGGCAGAAGTATGGTGGAAGACGTCCAGTGTGGCAAGATTATGAGGCAGTCACGGGCCAGCATTACTAAGAGGACTGGCATGCCAATGGCCCAGGGTCGCGCAGAAACCCACGCCTGGCAGCAGCACCAGGAAGGCGGAGGACAAAAGCATAGGCTTAAAGACTGTTCCTTAGGAGCGAGGGGTGGGAGAAACAAGAGGCAACCTAAGCTAGGAGAACAGAGAATGTTCTTCTGTGAACCAGCTGGTTGCTGGGCCTTTATCGTCATTTCACAGCATCATCAAATATTTATTACATTTACATCCAAAACTGTTTGCTAAGCAACGGATGGCTTAACTGGGAGCTCTGTGATGATTATGTTAATTAACCATTTTAGCACCACAGAGGAAATCATGCTTCCAGCTCCACTCTAAGCACCTGTTACTTTCCTCCCCATCTTCTGCAGAGCTTTGGCTTTCTGAAATACCTCGTTTTTTCAAAAAAATAAATGCCAATTGCTCCTTTTTTTTTTCCTCTGAAGAGCCTACAGCAACTGACTGAATCCACCACTTGCCTTGGAGGCAGCAAGACCTGGTCCCCAGCCTCAAGGTCCTTCCAGCCTCGTCCAAATGAGGCTGGTGCCTTTTAGATTCCTTTACCTGTTTCCTAGCATGCCGTAAGCCTGCATGGTTCTAGGCGTTGCACCAAGATGCCTTAGCACATAGAAGCAGAGACTCAAATCCCAGCCAGGAGACTTGGCAGTGACATGGAAACAGTAGTGGTGTCCTCTGAGGTGTTTCATTCTTACGATGTTCCCTCTGGGAAGGCTTTCCAATTTAAAGAAAGCAGTAAAAATGGAGCTCCAATTGTTTGGTAGTGTGGCTTTGCTTATTGCCAGGCTTTCCAAGCATGAATAGATGTCAGCACTGCTTTGGTTCAGCCACAGCCTCACCTTCCATAGGCTAGGGAATCTGTGCCTTAGCATTAAAACCAGAATACAGTGATGGTGAACCTTTTTCCAGCCATTGAGAACTGATGATGTGGCTACAGTTGCATCATATCCTGTGTACAGGCTGTACATGCAGCCAGACCCCAAGAGAATGAATGAGCTAAGATTAGAGAGTCTGAGCTGGGTAAAAGTGGGGACACCTTTTCTGTTCATCAGAAGCATTTGTGTTCAGAACGGCTGCATGCCAACTCAGTTGCATCTGGATCCAAACAGAGCAGAGACCAGACCCAGCAGCTATCTCTGCCAGCCACTTCCAGCCTTCATCTGCCTGCAGCAATCTCCTAAGATGAGTGCTCCTTGCAGTCACCCCACTGCATTCCCCGATCTTCCCAGCCTCCCTATCCCTCTGCCAGCATTCAGGTCTAAGCCAAAGAGACCTGAGTGCAGCCCAAGAGGAGGGCTCTCAAAGCCACCCTTGCAGTCCCCAGAGCCTAAATACAGCCTAAGTGCTAGGGCAATTCCTCCCATATAAATAAAACTGCCTTGTACTGCTCTGAGTTAGCCAGCAGGACCAGAGGTAGTACAAGAACCAGCTTATCATCTCATTGCCACTGCGAGACTGATAGTCCTCTCCTCCTGGGCAGCCACAAAAACTTTGAGGCCAAACCATCTGCAATGCAGGCTTAGGGCTTTATGGCTGTAACCTCTAAAGGTCTCTGGATTTAAGTATCTTACTTTAATTCCTCCTCCTTCCACCAAGCATCTGATTGCTTGCATGCTAAGAAGGAAAATGACACAAGGTGCTGAGCTTGCACCACTCCCAACTCATCCATGTAAAGACACAGGGTCACCAGCACTCCGGTGACTGGCCCCTGACATTGGGATGAACCCAGGGGATCAGTGCTAGCACCCACTAGCACCCATACCTGCCCGTTTTCTGCATCACCCAGCCTACGTGGGGTAGTCCATAGAGCTGCAATTCACTACTGGCTTGTCCAAAGGATTCCCTGCAGTGGGGAGCAGGTGGTACTCCAAATTCTGTCCCTCGTGATGCAGTTATCCCAGCAGTCCAGCTCAGGGGACAAGCCACACAGCTTGCCTGTCCTCCAGAAGCACAGCAGTTAACTCGCTGTCCTTCCTCCCCAATGACAAGCCAGAAGGACAGGTTTTGCCTGCAGTAACTGAGCCACTTACTTATTTAGCAGTGCAGTACAGCAGGTAGCTTATGGAATTGGAAAGTTTTCAGTGACTAATTGCTGAGCTGCTTGGGAATGACAAGAGGGACTAGAAAAGTCACAGGAGACAAAGAAATAAGTTGACAGGTTAGTCTGAGGAAGGGATGAGAGCTTTCAAATCTGGGGAGGAAAAAAAAAAAGAATATATACAGAGAGATCTATTTTCCTAGAATAAAAATTCCCCTGTTACATGAAGGCAGCAAGAAAACAGGGCATAAGCAAGCCCCACGCAGCAACTTCCAGAATCTCCCTCCTAGTCTCTCACAGAAGCTCCTTTCTACATCTGCTGAACCCCAAGCACATAATTCCAGCTGTGGGAGGGAGCAGAATTAGAGGAACTGCTGAAAAGGAAAGGAGAGCCAAAGGGGGGAAAAAAAAAGGAAAATAAAAAAAACCCCATAAATCAGAGTTTTCCATATCTCTCACCCTGAAACAATCAGCTAACAGTGGCATTTCTCCTTGGCAAGGCCGTGTGCAAAGGATTTACAGTCCGAGTCCTGAAGGACATTCTTCCCACGGCAACCCTGAGCCCGATGGATAGGGAGCCAAGGCAGCGGCTGCTAACGGCCTGCATGCGGAGACTCTCCCCCACCCCTGGGTTTTCCAATCCTCTTTCTTTCCTCCTGTACCAGCCAGCACTGGCTGGTGACAGGGCGGATGCACTGACTCAGTGTGACAGTCAGGAACCACTTAGAGCTGTGACAGCACCACGGTCCGATCCTGCTCCTGCTAAAAGCAGTGCCAGCGCTCAGGCTAATGCACGGCTTGCTCGCTCCTGCACACACTCCATCTCCTCTGCTAAAAGGCCTTTCCCAGAGCAGCACAGTGGTATATTCCCACCTCACCCAACTAATACATCCACGTGCTCACACTAAATGCATCATTAAGGCTTCCAAAGCTGCTTCTTAACCTGCTTGAAAACACATATATGGGCCAAGAATTTA